AGAGGGAGAGAATCTTAAACAGGCTCCACATTCAGCACGGGGCCCAACGCAGAGCTTGATCTTACCACCCTGAGATCATGATGTGAGCCGAAATCAAGGGTCAGACGCTGAATTGATGGAGCCACCCAGGCGCCCCAGAGCTATATTAGGATTATGATTATGATTACTATCGCATAATCTAGGACAGTAGCATCAAAGTGAGAAGGGATAGTAAGTCTAGTCCTATGCAGATGGAGAAAAATAACCCTCCTGCATTCATCAGAGCTACCTTTAACAAAGCACCACAAACCGGGTGGCTTAAACAACAGGAACTTATTGTTTCATATTTCTAGAGACTAGAAGTCTGAGATGAACATGTTAGCAAGTTGGGTTCCTTCTGAGGACTGGGAGGCAGAATCTCTCTGGGCCTCTTCCAAGCCTCTGGTGGTTTGCTGGCAGCCTTCGTGGTTTTCTTGTAGCATCTTCACCCTGACCCCTGCTTCTGTGCTCCCTGCGTGCACATCTCTGTTCAAATTTCCCCTTTTTTGTAAAGACACCAGTGATATTAGATGAGGGACGTACCTTATTCCAGAATGGCCTCCTCTTAACTAATTACACCTGCAAAGACTCTACTTCCAAACAAGGTCACTTTCTGAGGGCCTGGGGGTTGGAACTTAACCATATGAATTTTGGGGAAGCACAATTCAACCTCTAACACCTCCCTCTGGAACACTCCTCCTAGGTAGTTGCACCTGCTCATAGAGTCCTCGTGACAGTCTGTTCTTCACACAGCTTCTTTTCATGGTCTAGTGGCTAGGGCTCCCTCCTCCTGGCATCACAGGTTAGACCACTAAGTGAAAAATATAGGAATATGGAATGAAACTATTTTCTCAAACATGTAAATGGAAAAATCCTAACTGCCACTGAAAGGTACTTAGGCTCCATGCCAAGTGTAGGAGATGGAGAGGATCTACATTACTCATATCATTTGTTCTTAACCTCTTTGAGAGTTTACTGAAAGCTAAGGATGTTAATTCCCTAGAATACAAGTGCACATGAAAACACGCACTGTTTTTTTGTATACACTTTCTAAAAATTGTTAGATTACCTCTTAAAGTCTTGCTTAGTCCCCCAGAGGTCCACTAAACCCAGATTGAGAATCTTGAGACCAAATCAGTCTTGCTACAGTTGAAATTTGGGGCCAGGTAAGTCTCTGTTGTGAGAGGTTGTCCTGTGCATTGTAGGATATTTAACAGCATCCCTGGTTGTTAAATGCTAGTAGCATCCCCCAGCTGTGACAATCAATATCTGCAGACATTGCCAGATAGCTCCTAGGGGGCAAAATCACTCCATTCGAAAACCATTGGTCTACACAGAGGGTTGATCCTTGCCCTCAAATCCGTTTATGTAAACATTTGGTAAAAGCTACTCTCCACTGCCAGGAACAGTGTTAAATAAATAATAAGAAAAACAGTTATCACTAGATTGAGGGTGTCCAGGAAATACGTACTTGCATGTTTGTTTGTTCATTGTTTTATCTTCAAAGGATAAAGAATGCATGGCACTCTGTGAGTGTCCAGAAAATACTTATACATGTGTTGTAGTTGTTTGTCCTCAAGCCATTCACAATTAGTGGGTGAGACAGAAAAATAAGCATCTAATCATAAATGTTGCCCAAATAGTCTTCCTTTGGGGGATGCTGGAATAACCTGAATATTTATGCACGTGATAATACTGTACTACTTGGATGGAAAGGTACTATGAGTGCATAGAGAAAATTATTTTGTCTGCTCAAAGCTGGAAACCTGTTTGTGAACCTATTATGTATGTTAGCAGAGGAGGGTGTGTGAAGGGATATATGTGTGTCAGATGTCCCTCTTTCAGACAAAATTTGACATAAACAAATTTTAAATGGTATTTTTTACCAATAAAACAGCATAGATTATTATATTTAAGTTTCAAACCTAAATTAAATCAGGACTATAGAAATATTTCCATATGATGCTTAAAAATAACAATGTGCCTTAAAATAAATATGACATAGGTAGAATATTATAACATTTTAATTTCCAGGAACTTAATTACTATCACATAGCACTGCCTAGGTTTGGAAGCTAATGGTACATTTAACATTCTATAATTATCTATTATTAAATAATTTGCATTGACAGGGATAGTTGTTGCTCTAGATCCTCACTCATAGAACTTTCTGTAATAATGGCAAGGTTTTATATCTGCACTGTCCCATGCAGTAGGTATCAAGCATTGAAATACAGCTAGTACAACTGGGAAACTAAATTTTAAATGTTATTTCATTTTAACTAACTGAAATTTAAATGGCCATAGGTGTCAAGTAGGTAACTCTAAATGGCTGGGAATATGTGCTCAATGAACAATTTCATTTTGTCTGATCTGATCTATTGTAAAGGAATGGGATGGCTTACGCGATGAGAAAAGGATAACCAGAACACAAATATGCTGAGAAAAGAAAGAAGGGAGGAAAACAAAGAAAATAATTTCATAAAAACCGATAAAAAGGATAAAAGTCCAGGCTTTCAGAGCCTTTCTTTCTTTCTTTTTTTCCTTTTAAATGTAGGCTCCATGCACGTGAGGCTTGATGGGCACCTGGGTGGCTCAATTGGGTAAGTGTCTCCTTTTGGCTCAGGTCATGCTTCTAGGGTCCTGGGATCGAGTCCTGGGCTCCCTGCTCAGCAGGAAGTCTGCTTCTCTCTGTACCCCTTCCCCCTGCTCATGATCTCTTTCTCTCACACACTCTCTCTCAAATAAATCTATAAAATCTTTAAAAAAAAAACAAAAACAAAATAAAAGCAATGTGGGGCTTGAACTCATGACCCTGAGATCAAGACCTGAGATCAAGAGTCAGATGCTTAACCGACTGAGCCACCCAGGTGCCCCTCAGAGCCTTTCTTGATAAAAGTTATTATAATTTGGCTAAGGCCATGGATTCCCTCACTTTCTTTGTGATTCTTGGGATATTAAGATTCCAACCACTGCCCTAGTAACAACTTAGTGCCTAGCCTCCACTCAAGAAGTACTGTCCCAAGTCACACATAGTACTCCTAGAAAAAAAGTGTTCATAATTGTTGGGATCCCCAAGTGAGACCTCCATTAGTTGGAGGCACAACATGATAGTGTCCCGAACATAGTCCTTGGCTGGCTGGTAGGCTTTGGGTTCTCAAGTCAGTTTGAAAAATCAAATTAGTTTTTATTCTTTCTTCTTTCTTTCTTTCTTTCTTTCTTTCTTTCTTTCTTTCTTTCTTTCTTCCTTCCTTCCTTCCTTCCTTCCTTCCTTCCTTCCTTCCTTCCTTCCTTCCTTCCTTCCTCCTTCCTTCCTTTCTTTCTTCTTTCTCTTTCTCTCTCTCTCTCTTTCTTTTTTAGAGAGGAGGTGGGGAAGGACAGAGGGAGAGGGAGAGAATTTTAAACAGGCTCCACACTCAGCATGACAAAGAGTTCAATCTCACAACCCTGAGATCATGACCTGAGCCGAATCAAGAGTTGGATGCTCAACCAACGCAGCAACTCAGGTGCCCCTAGTTTTTAATCTAAAAGGGGCTGCCTAAGGGCAGCAGGTCCAAAATGTCCTGTATGTCCAAACCATCAGCCAGGGGTCATTCATCTGTACCACAAAATGAAGGAGCAACAGCTATAAGAATAGATGTAGGAAGGATGTCTGGAGGTGGCAGGCGCTTAGCATAGGAAATAGATGAGCTAGAGCCAACCCCAGGTTTTTCTGATGGACCACTCGGTAAAGTCAAGAGGAATGGTGATCAGATTATGGTCAATGTTGTCTGGCAGGAGACGAAAGACACAGATCATTCTTACCAGCCCTCCCCCATACCTCCTGGGGTGTCAGTTACTCCTTCTGTAGATGTGGGGGATGTTGTTCTCCATCTACCACCAAGAAATCAGAATGTCCCATTCTACTACATTTTCCCCCCAATTATCTTCTTCTTGCTCCCAGAGTGTTTATCCAGAAGGGTCAGGTGCAAGAGGAACAAGAGAATTTTTATGAACTTACAGGGATTCATTATGTCTTCCACTTAGGCGCATGCAGAGGGACCTAATGAGAAATACATTCCACCAAAAAGTCACTGCCCTTATAATCTAGGACCAGAACAACCCAGCAAGAGAATCCAGATGCTGAACTAGATTTAAACTGGAAATTTCCTGGCCCCCTTTTGGGTGAGCTGTCACCTGAATAATGTTCCAACTACACTTGTGACTAGGGTTGCTATTAGGGGAAAGAAAGAAACAGCAGACCTAGGAATAGTCAGTGTGGAATTCCACTTTTTCAGAATAGGTCTATATAACCCTCCATTCCTTTAGTCCTAATCATTATGCAGAAAACGGTCGAAAGGAAAGGATTCTTTTCAGAAGCCAGTCAGATTCTGTGCCTGGAGACACCAGACTCCAACCCTCCTGCAGCCTAGATCCCCCAGCTGTGAAACCCAGCAGCAATCACTGGGCTGGGCGGGAGGAGGGGAATCCAGGGGTCAGGGGGTTCGGTGGCTGACAACTGGTCCAGGGAAGTGGACACAGTGGGAAGTAGCCTCACCTGTGAGCTCAGGCTCGGGCCATTGGGGCATACTCTATTGTCTCATCAGAATTCAATTCTAAAACATAAACTCAAAGACAAAATTATTAAGCGTTTTAAGACAGTGACCACAGAGCATTAAACTTCAAGCAGGAGGCCTGTCTGATGGTTGGTGCTGGCCCTGCCTAACCGATAATGCTCCCCCACTCATACCTCGCTCTCACATCGTGAAACTCCCCCGTTAGTTTCTGTAAAACCTTCCCTTGATCCGGATTACATTGTTTCACTTGTTCCTTAGATTCTTTATTTTGTATTAATTTTTTAAAGATTTTATTTTTAAGTAATCTCTACACCCAATGTGGGGCTCAAACTCACAACCCCAAGATCAAGCGTGGCATGCTCTATTGACTGAGCCAGCCAGGCGCCCGTCTCTTCAGTGTCCTTTAGGATTGAGCCTATGTGTTACCTCTTTCACGATGCGTTCTTCTATCTCTGGAGGTAATTGGCAGTAACTGCTCCGTATTTTTGTAGCAACACTTGTCTCCTCTATCACAGCACCAGTGACCGTAATGGGATTGTCTGTTCACTGGTCTGCTTCTCTTCCTAGACTGCAAACCCCTGTAATGAGACATACATAAGCATTTGCTGAATGAGTAGATCTGTTGAAGGGTCATTTTTCTGATAGTTAAACTGCTAAGAGTCTGCAGAACAATTTTTAACATCTAGTCAAACCCTTATTTTGTTTGTGCAGCAAGCATTATGTTCTATACAGATAATTCACTAGTGAATGTCAATAGCTTTGTCAGTTTTTGGTCTGTTTAATCTTAAATTCCAAGTGGCATGATCACTTCAAGGAAAAATAACTTTCTACTGAACATACCCATACGCTGGGTGGTATGTTTTTGGAATCCTTACCCAACCAAAAATGTTTGTCTATTGTCATGAAATGATAATTTGCCTGGTCACAGATAATGCTTCAAAACTTGATAGATTTTTGTTTCATTGGCTTCTGGCTTTCAATGCTGCAAAGGAGTGTGAGTCTTAACCTGAATGTCACTTGTTTGTACACAACCTCATTTTCTTCCTGCATGCTTCCTGAAGGTTTACCTAGCCTTGAAATGAAAATTTCCAAATGTCTTTTTATCTGTGGGTCTGTATTCACTTTCTCTTTTCTGAAAGAAGCAAGTCCTTTCAGTCTTCATACTTAAAATATTTTTTAAAGGGCAGTTTTTTATATACACTAATGAGCACACTGGGTATTAATTCTCTTCCAATTTGTATAATTCTTCTTTAGGATCATTTATAATTCTGTTTGCTGTACTAGTGCCTTTATTTCCATTGTTTTGATCCTTGTCTTCCTTTCCTCTGTATTCAGACTCAGTGTGATTCAAATTTTCATAATGCTTATTATAGTCCTTATATTTTCTAATGTGAATTTTATTCTAGTATTTTGCTTTTAGTCTAGATACCATCTTTCTTTATTGTAGGCATTTACTTTTTGTACTTTTGGTTATAATTTAATCTCAACTATTTCCCTTTTTATGGCTTTCAGCTTCATAAGTTGCATGCTACTTCACACAATTCCTAGAATATAATCATGACTTAATCCCTCAATAAGTGGTGGTTATTATCATAAGCAGTTCTCAGTAATTGGCATCAGAAAAGATCCTAGAGTTGCCGTTAGGCAAATACTATTCACTCTATAAAATTCAGGCCCCAAAGAGCTAGAAATGAACTTCCTGGAGGTCACAAAGATAGTTAATAGTAAAAGGATATATTCAGTACAAGTCTTATTAAACTAAGAGTCAAACATATTTCAAGTGTCATATAACAAACATAGGATCCATGTTAAGAATGGAAATGAAGTATGACTTGACTCCTTGCACTTATTAGTGGAGATTTCATTCACAGATGTATGAAATAAAACAGGACAACTTCACAGTGAACAATTTCACAAGAAATGTATCTGGGTTTTGGTGTTCATGCTCACTTCTGAAATATCTGGACCTCCTACATTTGTTGATTATTTTCTTAATAAAGATTTGGACAATCCAATAACTCTGAGTAATATCCTTAAGCACTAAACATTGCACAATGGAAACAAGACACGCCATTCTCACATTAGAAGGGGCTGTATCTTTTTCTTTCCATTCTTAAGAGATACAAAAAGAAATGGAGAATCAATGAAGCAAACATTGTGGCCTAAATGCAAAATTTTCCCTTATATTGCTCTCTTTCAACTATGAACTTCCACTGGAGAGGCCACATTATATTGGGTTGATTGATGTAAAACTCCAAAACAAATAAATCCAAACAACCTCCCATGCCTACAGCTTCCCTCTAATTAACTTGCTGGAACTCACATTATTGGTCCACAGCTACTCCATGGGTCAGTTAAAGCTTTTGGTCTCACCTTACCCAGAGCCCACAACTGGGCAAGTATTCCATTGAGCACATGGGACTACATATTGGTATGAATAACTTCAATAACTTTACATCATAATTATCAGGAGGAATTTTTTTTCATGGCTGGGATTCAAATTGTTTTACCTGATAACTGAAATGGACTAATTATTCTGAAGAATATTAACATTTCCCAGAAAGCCAAAAGAGTCTTTTAATACTTAGATGTTAACAATGAAAGCTCTGAATACTAAATAAAGGACATTTTCTACATTATAAGAGACTCTTTCTTAGGTAATTATGATATAGCACATTTTTTCCTCCAATGCTATTGACAGCAACTTGGGCTCTCAAGCAACCCCTTTCTGGCTTTCGGGTTTGCCTTCTAACAAGCCTCACTGGATACCGAATAAGGCAAAATGATACACACAGGTCAGACAAAGTGATATTCATTAGTGAGTACAGATAAGTGAGTAGGCTCCTGAGGGCTAAGCCAAAACACGTGGTCTGATCTTTGGCTGGGAAATTCTGAAATGCTAAAATGAGAAGATTAAGGATGTCACTAAGTTCACCAAACTTTTCTATTACTTCTCTTACAGGGCATTTCTTTGTTCCAAAGAAAGACCTTTTCAAGGATAATACTGTATTGAAATACTGAGAAAAAGCAAATGCTTCTAAACTCTGAAGAAGCTCCATGTCATCTCAACATCAAAACTTGCACAGACTGTGAAGACCAGGTCTTCCCTCCTGAGTGTCATCACTCAGGAGCAGGAGACAAAAGCAAAGACAGGACCTTCTTCCAGTGGTCTCATATACACATATGTGTGTAAAATATTTTTACATTGTGACATATGCCATCCATATAGAGTAATGTGTAAAACTTATATGTATATTTCAAAAAAAAAAGCATAAACTACATATGCATGTAATCACTACCCATATTAAGATCTAGAACATTCCTAGCCCCTAGCCTCACTGTGTGCCCTTCTCTGCCCACAATTCCATCTTTTGCCCTGAATTAACCATTATTCTTACCTTCCTTTTTTCTTTAAATTTTTACCAGCTCTACATGGATCTTTTATAATATACTTAGTTTTGATTGGTTTTGAACTTTTAAAAAGTAAAACCACACTCTATATTTTTCCATCTTTCTCTGTAACATTCCACAAGCTAAATGTTTATTTGTAGATCTCCATTCTGAGATATAATGGAATAACTGGTATTGGACTGGCTCTCCCACGATAGACAACTAGAAAATGACACAAAATATATGAAACAAGTGTTTCCAGGCATTTTACATCAGACCATATAGGACTAAGATCCCTAAGATGAGGGGTGCAAACAAAGTGAGCCCTATAAATTCTTCAGAGTTCTGACTGTAGGTGCTTGCTGGACTGTGAGAAACCATGGAGAACCCAAGCAGAGCAAACTAGTCTCACTGCAGAAGACCAGAAAGAAGAGTGCTAGGAAGAGACAGAGTTCCAGAAATCTGCAGAGATTCTTTGAGTCTACAGCTGAATATTGAGCTGTGCTTGTGTAGGGTGAAACTCCATGAGGCCAGGCAAAAGGTAACTACCAGAGAAAGAATAACTGCTTGGGAGCTGTAGGCTGATCACTTTCTACAATTCACGTTGGTGAGGAGACGCTTGAGTTCTGACCAGCCAAAGTGAAACAAACTTGTTAAACATACAGGGTACATAATAGTAGCCCTAGTAGGCTCTAACTTTAATGGTAGAGCTAAACTAAGAGTAAAGGCTATTCTAGACATCCCTGCCCCGACAAAATTTACAAGCAAGCTTCAAAAGGCTCAAGCTTATCTACAACTCACTTAATTGCCTGTCAAAACAAACTGTAAGGCTCTTTAAAGGAAAACCATAAAATCCAGAAATGCAACAAAGTAGCAGTCATAATGTTAGGATCTCATAAAGTATGACTACACATGTGTAAAAGTAGGAAAATGCTTCCTATAAACAGTGGAACTATCCATCAATCAAAACAGACTCAGAAATATTAGAATTAACAAAGACTTTCAAAGAGCTATTTTACATATGTCTAAGTATTTGAAGGAAAATTTGAACATAATAAAGAGATAAATGGAAGATATTTATTTTAAAAAACCACAATGAACTTCCAGAGGTGAAAACCTGAAAGGAGAAAAAGACATATCTAAGTTTCAGTTGAATATCTAAACACTTCTCTCTTAGGAAGCAAGAAAATAAGGAGACATAAAAAGTTGTAAGAAAAATGAACAACAAATTAGCCTAATCGACATTTGCAGAACACTACACACACACTAATGTTGAAAAACATACTCTTTTCAAGAGCACATGGAATATTCACCAATATAGACTATACAGCAGAACATAAAACAAGCATTAATTTAAAAGTTGAAATAATGCAGAGTATGTTCTCTAGCTATAATGAATCTATTCATAAATCAATTTAAAAAATTAAGAAACTCTAAAATATTTTGAAATTAAACAATATACTTCCAAGTAATTCATAGGTCAAAAAAAGAAAGACAAAAGAATTAGAAAATATTTTAATTGAATTATAATGGAAGAAAGTTATCAAAATTCAGTGTGTGTAGCTAAAGTGGTATTTTCAGTAAATTTTACAGATTTAAATGCTTGTATTAGAAAAAAATAATAAAATAAATCATCTAAGCTTCAAACTTAAGGGGTTGAAGAGAAAATTAAATCCAAAGTGAGTAGGAGGAAGGAAATATGAGTGGAAATGAAAGAAATTAAAAAATAAACAGAAAAGAAAGTCCATGAAACTGGAAGCTGATAGTTTGAAAAATCAATAATTTTAAATCTCTAGCTAGAACAATAAAGAAAAAAGAGAGAAACCCAAATTACCAATATTAGGAATAAAAGAAAGATTATTACCACAGATCTTAGACATATTTAAAAGAAAATAAGGGAATATAATAAACAATATTATGCCAATAAATTCGAGTTGACATGGACAAAGTCCTTTGAGACACTAATTTCCAAACTGACACAAGAATATAATATATTTTAAAAATTTGAATAGCTTAAGATTAAAATAATAAAATTTGCAAGTAAAAATCTCCCTTCAAAGAAAATTCCAGGCTCTGATGACTTCATAGGAAATTTTTTCAGACATTTAATATTAAAAAATACCAACTTCACACAAATCCTTTCAGAATATAAAAGAGGCTGAAATGTTTTCAAGTTCATTTTGTGAAG